CGTTTGAATTCCTGTGCAGCGGCCCACCCCGCGACCCACCGCCCAACTTGAAGTCAGGGTCACACGGGCATTATAAAATATTTATAAACCATTTGCACGCATAATTAGCCTGTCATTACATTTTGAGATTTTCGGTGTTCGCTTTTCGCCTGTTTGTTTGCGTGTGTGTCAGTTGGCTCAATTGTGCATGCACTTGTGTCCGTGAGCTTAAATTCGTGTCTGGGCATCGCTCCACCATTGAGATATCGTCATATTATGAACAGAATTACTACCCCTAGGCATCCTGTTGCACTTAAACACATACATAATGTGAAAAACACCTTAACATTGTGACGACCCAATCTGAATTTTCATCTAAAATTCATTTAAATTGTGTTATACTTGGACACGCATCGTTATGTTAACCGATGATATCATCGCGTCTGAAATAACTAACGATCTCTGGAAGAAGTCTCTCAAATTGTTGCATTTCCTCTCGTTATGCAGTCCACAAATAAATTGTATTTACTTTGATTTTTATACCCTTGCAGAGGGTATTATAATTTTGGTCAAAAGTGTGCAACGCAGTGAAGGAGACATCTCCGACCCTATAAAGTATATATATTCTTGATCAGGATCACCTCCTGAGTTGATATAGCCATGTCCGTCTGTCCGTCTGTCCGTCTGTCCGTCTGTCTGTCCGTCTGTCCGTCTGTCTGTTTCTACGCGAACTAGTCTCTCAGTTTTAAAGATATCGAATTGAAACTTTGCACACACCCTTCTTTCCTTTGCACGCAGTATATAAGTCGGAACGGCCGGGATCGGACGACTATATCCTATAGCTGTCATATAACTGAACGATCGGAAATGCCATAACTTTGGTGTTTGTAAAGTTAGGAAGTTGAGATTTTCTATAGGTTTTATTTTTGGCCAATCAATCTGACCTACCGAATTTCATGAGAATCGGCCGACTATATCTTATAGCTGCCATATAACTGAACGATCGGAAATGCCATAACTTTGGTGTTTGTAAAGTTAGGAAGTTGGGATTTTCTATGGGTTTTATTTTTAGCCAATCAATCCGACCTACCAAAGTTCATAAGGATCGGCCGACTATATCTTATAGCTGCCATATAACTGAACGATTGGAAATGCTATAACTTTGGTGTTTTTAAAGTTAGGATGTTGGGATTTTTATGAGTATTAAGAATGCATCATATGAATAATTTTGGAGAATATAATTTACAGAGTATTCTGCAAGGGTATATCAACTTCGGCTCCGCCCGAAGTTAGCTTTCCTTTCTTGTTATTAAACATTTAGTCAACAATTAATTATGTAGACAAGGTCAGCTTTTCCACTTTTTCAGCTTTTTGCCTCCAGCTGCACTAGTTAATTAAATCAAAAATTAAACATTGCCTGTCGCTGATGTTGATAGACTTGATGCCTTAAGTCCTTATAGCAATTGCAGCAATTATATTTTAATCATGCAAATATCCGTGTATAGAGTTAGCGAAACTGCGTATTTTTTATACCCTTGCAGAGGGTATTATAATTTCAGTCAAAAGTTTGCAACGCAGTGAAGGAGACATTTCCGACCCTATAAAGTATATATATTCTTGATCAGCATCACCAGGAGAGTCGATCTAGCCATGTCCGTCTGTCCGTCCGTCTGTCCGTCTGTCCGTCTGTCCGTCTGTCCGTCCGTCCGTTTCTACGCAAACTAGTCCCTCAGTTTTAAAGCTATCTGCTTGAAACTTTCCCAAAAGTTGTCTTTCTATTGCAGGTAGTATATAAGTCGGAACGAGCCGGATCGGGCCACTATATCATATAGCTGCCATATAACTGAACGATCGGAAATGCCATAACTTTGGTGTTTTTAAAGTTAGGAAGTTGGGATTTCCTATGAGTTTTATTTTTGGCCAATTAATCCGACCTACCGAATTTCATAAGGATCGGACGACTATATCCTATAGCCGCCATATAATTGATTGATCGGAAATGCCATAACTTTGGTATTTGTAAAGTTATCAAGTTGGGATTTTCTATGGGTTTTATTTTTGGCCAATCAATCCGACCTACCAAATTTCATAAGGATCGGCCGACTATATCCTATAGCTGCCATATAACTGAACGATTGGAAATGCCATAACTTTGGTGTTTTTAAAGTTAGGAAGTTAGGACTTTTTATGAGTATTAAGAATATATGAATATATGAATAATTTTGAAGAATATAATTTACAGAATATTCTGCAAGGGTATATCAACTTCGGCTCCGTCCGAAGTTAGCTTTCCTTTCTTGTTTTAAATTGCTATAAGACTTATTTCGCGATTTGTCCTGTTGCGCGAGAATATTCAGTATTGTTCAAAAGTGTTGGGTGTTTTTACTTAAAAATGGTGGTGAGGAAAAGGGATCATTTCACTTCATTAAACCAAACCACAAACGCAAGCAAATTTGGACAAGCCAAAGTTGTAATACTCTTGAAAACATACTGAAAATTGTATGATAAATGTATAACTGTACATTTGACAGTTTTATGACAGCTAGAGGATATAATCAGGATAGATCCGAAATGGCAAAACACCATCATTACAACGATACTTTCGCCCAGTTGCTTGAAAACTACAAACTGTAGCAATATGACAGCTATAGGATGTAGATGTCCTATCGGCCAAATTTCACAGTTTTATGTTAAAAGCTTTTAGAGTGCGTGAATAAACTACATAAAACCTTACGGCTTATATGGTAGATATTTGAAGGCTGTAGGATATAGTCATACAATTTTGATAGATTATTAGATTTCGTCCGATTGCGAGTTTAAGGGCCTAGCTTTAAAACTGAACTCCCAAACAGTATAGAAATAAAAGCACATGGCCATAATAACTCGTCAAGTGATGGTTATCAAGAATATATAAATATCTTTTATAGGAAATCTCAAAAATACAATTAAATTATTATTAGCACTTATTCTTTTGTTGCCTTACAATTTTTGGAAATTTAGTCTATAATCGCGAGATTTTAAATCGCGGTCCATCGGTCCATCCATCAGCAAAATCACGTCATCGAATTGTGGTCATAATTGTGAATTCGTTAGGTTCCGCTTTTTTTTGGCGAAACAACCAATTGGCAATCAAGTAAACGAATTAAATAATTAACAAGAAAGGGAAGCTAACTTCGGGCCGAGCCGAAGTTGATATACCCTTGCAGAATATTCTGTAAATTATATTCTCCAAAATTGATCATATGATGCATTCTTAATACTCATAAAATATCCCATCTTCCTAACTTTAAAAACACCAAAGTTATGGCATTTCCAATCGTACAGTTATATGGCAGCTATAGGATATAGTTGGCCGATCCCGGCCATTCCGACTTATATACTGCGTGCAAAGGAACGAAGGGTGTGTGCAAAGTTTCAATTCGATATCTTTAAAACTGAGAGACTAGTTTGCGTAGAAACAGACAGACGGACAGACAGACAGACGGACATGCTTATATCGACTCAGGACGCGATCCTGATCAAGAATATATATACTTTATAGGGTCGGAGATGTCTCCTTCACTGCGTTGCACACTTTTGACCAAAATTATAATATCCTCTGCAAGGGTATAAAAACAATAAATAAAATTGAAATCCTTTTTATGTATACTTGAATATTAATATAAAAACAGGAAAGGTAGCAGACTTACGCAAGCCGAAACTTATATACCCTTGAAGCTGTTACAAAAATGTAATACTCTATTTTCAATTTGGATGCTTGAAAGCAATGCAGCTCAATTTTCGATCGTTCCTTTTGGCTGCTATATGATATAGTCGTCCAATTTTTATAAAAGTAAAACATTAATTTCGAAATCGTTCACAATGACTTTATTTCATAGTACAAGGACATCTGTTAAGGAACAACGAAGTCTTAATTTTATTTCCCCTTTTCCCCGATTGTTCCTATGGATGTTATATGATATATTAGGCAGGAAGACTTTTTGCATCCAAAAAGCTCTTAACAAGGCTAGATATTTAGCTCAACTCATTGCCTTTTTTTGTCCCGCCGCTAATAACAATTATACTACGCTAAAATTTGCAGCAAGTTGTCCACCATTTCAGGTAAGATTCGGTACATTTTGAAGAGCTTTCGTACTTCTCATTTTACCTCGAGTTCTTGTAAGCTCTGTAGCAGCCACCGATGATTAATTTTACTAGTAATTAATAATCTTAAAAAGTAAAGTGATTATTCGGAAGTTTTTCTAACGTAAGTGTTAAGTCGAAAACTTAAAGAATAAAAGGATTTTGGTCGAGTCACTCCAAGAAAACACGTGTGCATTGAGGTGTTTATATAATGTGCATCACTTTACGATCCCTGAACTCTTGATAGGTTTCGAAATGCGAGCGCAGCCTTTTCGATGGAATGGGCGAGGTAAGCAGGACTGATGCGACCATTTATTTTGTATTTTTCGCAGGTTGAAAGTAATACGGGTGTCATTACAAAGTAATTATGCCCTTCGCGAAGTGAGACCCACGATGGCCAGAATCCAGGGACGTGGTGTGGCATGAAGTGGAGGTGGAGCGTCGAAATGTCATGTCATGTTGCGACAGGCGTCTGACCATTATGCACTGCGAACTGAAAACTGCGAACTGCGAGCTGCGAACTGCGCCTGCGAAAGTCCATATACACATATATACAAATGGGCTCGGGTTCGGCCATAAAGTAATCAGCGGAAATGTCAATGGGCCGCCGCCATTTACTGATGTGTCGGCAACTGAGGTTTACACCGTCAGCCGCGCCGTCATCGCCAAGGCACGTGTATTCTTTATATTCCGCTAGTTTGTTGGCAGCCGTTGTTATTGTGGTGTTGCTGTGCCCGGGCATTGTAATTAAAATTTTCCGCTGCATATGGAAGTGCAATTGGCTGGGCTGCAGGTTTAATTGCGCGGCTGTGTGTGCGATGGCAAACATCGTACGGGTCCACATTGACGCGTAGCAATGGGGGAGAAATAACTCAAAACCCTACTGCCTGCCGAACGTTTGCCGTAGAGGTAGCCTTCAGTTACAAGTTGGAGCCTTGGCCGCCAGGTTAAAAACTTTAAAAGCCAAAAAATTATTCCGTTCACTAGTGTCTTCATAGCTCCTCCGTTCAACAGGCTCACACATTCCCAAAAACCCAAACCCAAAACTCAAGAGATGGCGTTCTGTGGCCACGTAAGCGCATCTGGAGAAATCGTGCTCAGGGACGAGATCTTCAGCAGCAAGACCAGGCTCAGGCGATCCTCGTCGCCCAGCGATTCGCCAAACTCGATCTCCTCGCCGGACTCGCTCCCCCAAAACTCCACCTCACGCACCTACTCCATCAAGGACGACACCGCAAATCCTTCGCCCCACTCTGCGGGCAATTGGTCGGTCCTGTACGACGGACTCGGGCGGTCTGGCAGCCGGAGCAACTTGGTTCCCTCGCTGTGTCTCAGCTCTCAGAAGAGCTCCTTCAACTACCTCAGACACGTGGAAGGCATTAAGGTAGGACTTGAGACTTTTTGGAGTGCACAACAAACCACACAAATCAATAGGAAATCAATAACAACACGGTTAAATTATTACTGATTTTCAGATGAAATGACCAAATTTAGCTCAGTATGTATGTATGTGTCTTATCTGCTAGTAATTCCAAAATCATCCAAAAACTATTTGCAAATTGGCCAAGGTTTATTATAAAATAAAACTTAAATAGTATAGTAAATTTAAAGTAAACAAAAAAAAAGAAAACTTCGGCAAGCCGAATTACGAAAATAAATGAAGCTATGTCGATTTTGCGCCGCATTTTACCATCGTTTATGATGGCAGCTATATGATATTGTTGTCCGATTTTAATTTAATTAAAATCGTGCAAACTTTTGACTGAAATTATAATACCTCTGCAAGGATATAATAAAAGGGAGTAAATTTCATTTTGCTAAAATTAAATTTGGGGTAATTTGTTTCCTACATGTCTTTAATAGATGGTCTCCGAATAAACACGACTTGTATTATAAAAGTTAAAGCTGTTGGGTTCCGCAGTTTTTGTTCTACCGATGTATGCTTGTTTCAGGTCGTTTAGTTTACAGTTTTTAAGCCATTTTATTGCACTCCGACTTGACCCTTGACCTTGTCTATTCCTCCGCGTGCAGGTGAACCGCGAGCCACAGGCGGCCTACGAGAACTGGTACTCGGCCAAGCAGCGGCAGCGTCTGGAGCGGCAGCAGCTGCTCAAGCAGGAGCGGGACTGTAAGCAGCAGATGGTGGAGGAGCGCCAGCAGCTGGCCAGGATGTGCTACGACCAGTGGCTGAAGGACAAGGCCCGCCGGGCGGCGAGCCTGCAACTGGAGAGCCACCTCCAGGCGGCAGCCATGAAGGCCAGCCTGGCGCTGGGCAGGTCTCCCCTGCTGACCCCGTCCCCGTCGCCGTCCTCTTCGCTGGGCTCTGGCTCAAGCTCGTCGGCAGCCAGCAGGCCCACTCGCAACGCGTCCAAGGACGAGATCCGCCAGGTCGTCGAGGAGTGGTGGCTAAAGAAGCAGCAGCAGCACCAGGCGCAGCGCCAGCAGAAGCGCCGCGCCATGTTGTCCAGGGCGCTGGATGAGGAGCGGCGCAGGCAGCTCGCCCAGGTTGCCTGGAAGAAGTGGATGAGCAACGTGGACGCGAAGCCCAAGCCGGTGCCCCTCAATCAGGGCATGGACTCGCTGCGAGGCACCATCTCGCAGCTCTACGTGAACCCCACACCATGGCTGGGTCCCATAAAGCCGCCGAGGAAGTAGTCCTTGGGATCGTCCCCTCTAGTCAGATTCTTTTGTCGATGCAAACTTCACCAGTGATTCAAATTGTCCACAAATTATTTAAAATATAGAAACAGTGTAAGCTGAGCTAATGGGAAAAGTATGAAAATGGGATAAACTAAAGTATTGTAGGTAATTTATAGCATGCTACCAATTAAAGCTGAATATATCAGGCCTTCAGCTTATTTATGCGATCATTTCGCTTGAAAATACCACTAAAAATATACTCAATTAATGCTTATCGTTCACCTGAGCCAATTTTAATTTCAATTAAATTTGTTGATTTTGTTGGTTTAAAACTACATTTCGGGCCACGTTGCAGCTTTTGGCATACTTATGTTTGTTAAGACAATTACCAACTGATACAAAATATATCATAACGCATTCTTGGGGAAAGAAAGTAGTTACACCAAAATAAAGAACATTTTAAATTGTATTTTTCGAACAGTGCCAAAACATACTTTTATCTTAAGAATTTAATTAATCTTTGAACCACTCTGAAATTTGTCTCCTAGTAATCTTCAACTACCAAGTAATGGTCACACACTATTTTCATGCAATTTGAAAGTCAATTTATACAATTGCGCCAATACACAGTTTAACCAATTTTGTAAACCAATACGGAAAGCAGGGCAAGGGCAATTGCGAAGGGGCACTTACGATAGCAAATAACAATTTGCAAGAAAAATACAAAAGAAACGAGGTAAGCAAAAATCGAAACTAAAACTGCAGAGGACAGTACACTCAATAAGATTTCAATTGTTGTCGGACAAGATACATTTTCGGGCAGGCAATAAGCTGAGGAAATGGTGTAAAAGCCCTGCCCGTTTTCATTGGATTTGGAAGACTGGCCGACCCGACTGTCGTGTGTCTGATCCTGTGCGTCTGTAAAGTTAGAAAATTATATTGTTCCGAAATAAAATAAAGCATGTTTTAGGCAGCATGCAGTGGAAAACAGAGGTTCCCAGGGCTGGGAGTGAGAAACCGAAATGCAAACAAACAAAGCCAAAGGCCTAAAGTTCATTTGCACAATTTCCGAGCGCTCGGCTAGCTCGAAGCTCCCCCTGCAGCAAAGTCAAAGGCCAGCCGGTCCAGGCAAACAAAAAGACCAAAAAGACGCTGAAAATCCTTTTGATGAGGTCAACGTTGGTTTGGTTTCCTGCTCGCACACGCATGGGAAGTGCACTGTGATTGGAGTGATGACGAAAACCGTGTTAATGTCCTTGATATTACAGGGCCAAATGGCTTAAATTAATGTTTATTTAGAGGGCGATCAAAGACGGTAATTGAAATTCAGTCAACGCAGTCATTCCTACCAACTTTTATTAGTAAAATATATTTTTTTTCAACAACCAAACCATTTGTTTAAATTATAAAGCTAACGCATTTTAAGCCTAATTATACACTTTGTAAACCTCTCTGGGAGTAATTGATGAATTTAAAAAGGAAAACATTTTCATTTTTATACCCTTGCAGAGGGTATTATAATTTTGGTCAAAAGTGTGCAACGCAGTGAAGGAGACATCTCCGACCCTATAAAGTATATATATTCTTGATCAGGATCACCTCCTGAGTTGATATAGCCATGTCCGTCTGTCCGTCTGTCCGTCTGTCCGTCTGTCTGTTTCTACGCAAACTAGTCTCTCAGTTTTAAAGCTATCGGATTGAAACTTTGCACACACCCTTCTTTCCTTTGCACGCAGTATATAAGTCGGAACGGCCGGGATCGGCCGACTATATCCTATAGCTGCCATATAACTGATTGATCGGAAATGCCATAACTTTCGTGTTTGTAAAGTTAGGAAGTTGGGATTTTCTATGGGTTTTATATTTGGCCAATCAATCCAACCTACCAAATTTCATAAGGATCGGCCGACTATATCCTATAGCTGCCATATAACTGATTGATCGGAAATGCCATAACTTTGGTGTTTGTAAAGTTAGAAAGTTGGGATTTTCTATGGGTTTTATATTTGGCCAATCAATCCGACCCACCAAATTTCATAAGGATCGGCCGACTATATCCTATAGCTGCCATATAACTGAATGGTCGGAAATGCCATAACTTTGGTGTTTGTTAAGTTAGGAAGTTGGGATTTTCTATGGATTTTATTTTTGGCCAATCAATCCGACCTACCAAATTTCATAAGGATCGGCCGACTATATCCTATAGCTGCCATATAACTGATTGATCGGAAATGCCATAACTTTGGTGTTTGTAAAGTTAGGAAGTTGGGATTTTCTATGGATTTTATTTTTGGCCAATCAATCCGACCTATCAAATTTCATAAGGATCGGCCGACTATATCCTATAGCTGCCATATAACTGAACGATTGGAAATGCCATAACTTTGTTGTTGTTAAAGTTAGGAAGTTCGGATTTTTTATGAGTATTAAGAATGCATCATATGAATAATTTTGGAGAATATAATTTACAGAGTATTCTGCAAGGGTATATCAACTTCGGCTCCGCCCGAAGTTAGCTTTCCTTTCTTGTTAAGCCTCAATTTACTTGAAAATCATTTTAAACAATTTATTAGTCTTACCTCTCCTCCGAGTTTAAAAAATACAAAGCATATTTCTAACACTATAAAACAGTATAAAAATGCCTGGATTTTATATTCACAGGTAAAATTATTATTTATTTATATGTTTTCTAATGAATAATGTACAAAAGATATTGAACAACGGTTGCTTTGTGCTTTATCTCTGGTCGCAAATTAACTGAAATCGAAAAAGAGAGAAAAATTAAAGATGGCGTCCAAAAGTACCATGTGTTATTCGAATTTCGAACTGGCGTATTTACCTTAATCGTCGTTCGGTTGAGTTTTCGAACATATCAGGAATAAATTGATACGGAATTCCTCCAATTTTATTTACTCGGTGTAGTGTAAAGAGTAAATCTGAAGGTAATTATATAACACAAGAATATGTATTACTTAACTAAACTAGTTCGGTGTTCTTAGGCGTCGTTTATCTTGGCTCTTTTGCCAGTGTGCACTTGGCCAGGTCGATGGCTACCCATGCATGTTCGGCTGTTTGTTCGAAATACAGGGAAATGATGGGGAAACAGGAATGGTTGGCAAGGGGCAAGTCCTGAATATCGAGCACTGGCAGGATTAAATTTGGAAGGTATTGAAGCATGTTATTCGTCATCAATGTTGTTTGCACTAACTAGTTTGTGTTGCTTGTGATGCTTTTGTTGTTAATGTTGTTGTTGTTGCTGTTGCTGTTTGTTTTCATCATCCGAATATTGGTGTTGTTGTTCCTGTTGTTGTTGTTGCATCAGACGGTTTTGTTCCTATTGCATGGCAACTTGGCCTGAGAATCAAGGGTAGAGCTCAGAGTCAAGTCGTTTCCAGGTTGTTTGCATTGTTTACGCACTTTCGCTTTGATATTATTGTAGTGTGCATTTCGGCTTGATAGCCACATGACCAGGGTAATGGTCAGATTGACCAACCGCCTCCGGGACCGCAATCAACCCTGCAGGCTCAACATACACAGTCGAACGCCTCGCTGGCCATCCGAATGTCCGATAGATGGACATGTATCTTTTGAGAGACCGGGAAGATCTTGTATTTTGTTTTAATAAAGGTTTAATAATAAAGATTATAAGATAATCGCGAATTGGTAAGAGTTGGAATTTCGATCGCGTCACATTTCTGTAAGCTAACAATAATTATGTTGGAGTTAGGTTAAATAACATTTGCCTGACGTTATGTGACGTTTTCCAAACGAAGTCGGTGTGTACTTAAAATACACGGTGTACCAAACGTTTCCTTATCCCTGCAGTTTTGCACTAATGCTAAATAGAAAACATTATTTTTGATTGGATCAACCAAATTTAACAGTAGATAAAACAAATTGTTTGGTGAAATCGACCAATGAGCTAACTTAAAAATATGGTTGCCTGCGTAACAATTTTGTATTTAAATTTAATTAATTTAATTTTTGTTGCTTTTTAAACTATTTTCGAATAGTTAATTCACTTTTTATTAAAACGTAACAAGTTTCATTTCTGTTGCTCTATACTTTTAGGTTTTGTGTTTATCTTTCACTTCCGATTGTATATTTTCCAACTGGTTTTAGTGCGCATTGATCAAGGCCCACAGGTCACTGAAGAGTTATGTCTTTACAGGATTAATTCTGATGAAAGCTTTATGCACTGCCAAGTTTACACACAATTTTAACCGGTTTGGGTTTTTTTTTTAAATTATTATTTCCTAGTTAAATAGTTATTTACCTTTTTAAAGGTAGTGCAGTAACACTAAAATAGTAATTTTACAGAGTTTTGAACATTTTTATAGTAAGTTTTAATAAACCAGTTTCTATTAGCTAGGGATTTTTAAGTACTTTTTAAGTTAAGTAAGTGTATGGTAAAACTAACATAAATTAATTACGTAATGTACTACGTAGAAGTAGCTGTTTATAGTTAATTAACCATCATCGATGGCTTGGGAAATTATAACTATTTCATTAGGAAATTTGAGATGATTTTTATGTGTGTTATTGTATGTACCAGAAACTACTATTCAGATTTACATGAAAAAGTTATAAAGTTATAAAATATTCATATGATGCATTCTTAATACTCGTAAAAAATCCCAATTTCCCAATTTTAAAATCACCAAAGTTATGGCATTTCCGATCAATCAGTTATATGACGGCTATAAGATATAGTCGGTCGATCTTTATGAAATTTGGTAGGTCAGATTGATTGGCCAAATGTAAAACCTATAAACAATCTCAACATCCTAACTTTAAATACACTAAAGTTATGTTATTTCCGATCGTTCAGTTATATGGCAACTATATGATATCATCAACACAGGACGCGATCCTGATTAAGAATATACATATATACTTTTTAGGGTCGGATCTCCTTCACTCTCTACAAGGGTATAAAAATTATATTACAAAGAAACCGGCCAAAAGAAATATCTTCGCGTAAACTCACAAACTTTATATGAGAATTTTACAGGTGGGAGTTTTCCCGCTCGATTAGATGGGTTTTTGTTCGATAAATAGATAAAGGCGGATAAATAGAAAAAGTTGCCGGACAAAATTTTTAAATTTTCAAATATTTT